CCGCCCCCGCGGTCCTTCCCCCCGTCCTCGGCCTCGTCCTCCCCCGCCCCAGCCCGCCCAGCTGCCCAGGCCGAGCGAGGCGCGGAAGGCGGAGCAGGCAGCACCGAGGCCACCTTAGGGGGGCGCGGAGGAAAAGCGTCCGGCTGGAAAGCGGCGGCTCGACCCAAAGGTTCCGGGAGAGGAGGGGAAGCGGCTAGCGAAGCCGGGAGAGGCTGTGGGCCCCCGTCCCTCCTGGCGGGGACAAGGGGCTCAGCCTCTTGCAACTACCAGCAGTGTCCCCTTGCAGCGCTGCCCGCGTATAGTACCTGCCCCGCTTGCAGAGGAGGCCAAGGCAGCCTGGCTGAAGCCTGAGCTTGCCCCACCTCTCTGCTCCCCTTTCCTTGCTGCAGTCCCGGCCCCACCCTTGGGAATCACCTATTGAACAGGACCAAACCACCACCGCCACCACGCAGGTACCAAGGTCCTGGTAGTAGACACGATGCCTTAGCTGGCCTCAGAAGAGACATCACATCCACTCCAACAACCCGTGTCCTTAGACTAACACCAAACCCCAGCTCCAGGCCCGGTTTTTGACCGTACAGGAGGCGGCAGAGGTACAGGCTCCGTGCCAGGACTTCTCAGGCCTCAAATGCTGGAGGTTGTAAGGGAGAGGGGAAGAAAAAGCCCTAGTCAGACCCAGTTCGCTCGCCCTCACAGCATGCGTTGTGCAACACGGGAGACTGGGTACAATGGAGCCATCGTCCGAGCTGGGAGAAGGCAACTCTAATTTTTTAAGGCAGAAAACCAGAAAAAGATGCTTAGCAAGAGCCATCTTGGTACTTCAGCATACTGAATTCATCTCTGGTGTTCAAAAGGTGGCAACAGTAGGAATGTAGGGAAGCCTTATTCTTACTTTTAAGTAAGTATGGTTGCCCGTTTTCTCCTAGTTCTTTTACTATACTATTTGCTTTCATTAAAAAGATGGGCCATTTCAAGACAATAAATTCAGAGACAGCTCTTTGGTGAATTTATTATACACATCACATTGAGTGGAGCATTTACTGTTCTGTTCACATAAGCAGGAGTTTATAGTGGTGTTACTTGGTCACTCAATCCATTTATATGGCTACACATGTCAAATCAGATATGCAAGAGGGCAGTAGAGCCACTTAAACTTGGTTGATTATTTGTCCAAAACTATTCATTGTAAAGATTAAGATCAATGGGTTTTTTTTTTTTTGTTTT